GTTTAGGGTTTAGGGTTCGGTGGGGGGTCTGGGGTTCAGAGTTTAGGGCTCTGCGTTGAATCTAGGATTCCAGCTTTCGATCAGGGGTTCTGTTCGGCTTTCGTGGGCTCTTCGGAGGTCGATTGACTAAGGGTTTCTTAATTTCCTATATGGCATCATAAGGTTTTTGGAGGGTTTTAACACCTGAGTTCGACATCACCTTACCTCAAATAGTGAAGGAGTTTGTCCATCAGCAGTATGTCCAAGACTGCGGGATTCAAAGGGCCTCAGGCCGCAGTTGAGTCCCAAAGCGAGACGAGCAGAGCAATCGAATGGTTTAGGGAAAACCTAGACCCTAAATCCTCAACCCTAAACCCCAAAAGCCTAAACCCTAGATCCTCAACCCTAAACCCCAAAACCCTAACCCTAGATCCTCAACCCTAAGCCCCAAAACCCCAAAACCCCTCAACCCCTAACCCCTAAACCCTAAACCCCAACACCCTAAAGAGAACTTCAGCTGAGGCTCTCTGTCTGACTTTCGGCTTTGTGGAAGTATCGACTGGGGGCTCTACTGGTGGTTTAGAGTTTAGGGTTTAGGGTTTAGGGTTTAGGGGTTAGGGTTTAGGGGTTAGCCTTACACTTCGCACCACCCTAAACCCTAAACCCTAAACCCCTAAACCCTTAAACCAGAAGCCTCTTCAGAGCTCCAAAGCACATGAGCCCTTTCTAGCAGCATTTAGGGTTTAGGGTTTAGGGTTTAGGGTTTAGGATGCTTATTTCGAGGAGCCCGAGACCCGAGAAGCGTCGGAGTTTCGCGCTTAGGCCCTGATCCGGAACCCCAAACCCGAAACCCTGAACCTGAGTTTTAGGTTTTTTTTCGGGTTTAGGGTTTAGGGTTTAGGCGGGGAAGGGGTAGGGTTTAGGTGTAGGGTTTAGGGTCTCTACTCTTTGAGACATCAATCAACATTCGTATCGTGAGCCCTGCAGGTGTAGAGTAGCTCGGTTACTCAGTCGCGCTGTTGCCAAAACACGCCCGAGAATCTTTCCGTCCGCCGCTGCTTTGGAAAAGCTGGGATAGACGACGAAGCCAAAAACGAAGGGGTATCCGTTCCTGACGTTGGGAGTATAGCTTCAGGTTTCCGGGTAAGTTTACGGGCCTACGTAAAGTTCACAGAAAGTACGCGAGGGCATTAACAATGCAATAGGCTTGCAGGGATCGTCGAGGCTTGGTTTAGGGTCTAATGCCTGTAATGTAGGGGCCTTCATAATTAGAATAGGGTTTTGGGGGTTCCCTGTGATAACTATAGTTCAATGTACACCAGAACCCTATGCTAATTATTACGGCCCCTATATTAGACTGCAGCGTTCACGGCCTGGGTTGAACTCCCATGGCACTTTGTCGCTGAGTAGATTTCGGTGGAGGCGAATCGCCCCGCACTCTGCTGTGAAGGAGCTACCATCATTTTGATTCGAGTCTGTGGCCCCCGGTCAAGCGTCGGGAGGAAGCTTTCCGATGTAATGCCCCGAGTGCCCCGAAAGACCTGAAATACTCTAATTCGACAAATCCGAGGCCCATTCAGCAGTGAGAGAAAACATCTCTTGGACAGCGCCGGGCATGGAGTTTCGGGTTCAGTGGTGTAGGGTTCAGTAATCCCCTGAAGCCCTAAACCCTAAACCCCAAACCCCTACACCCTAAACCCTAAACCCCTAAACCCTAAACCCTAAACCCTTGTGTATGATGCTGTGGGCTTCTTGGTCGGTGTCGATGTCGGGTAGTCGGACGTCTTGAGCTCAGGCCTTTGTATAATCTCGGTGCCTTGAATGATTAGACGAAGGCTTTGGGGTATATTAGATATACTCTAATGGCTGCAAAAAGGAACACCTTAATTTTGAAGGCTTCTGTAGTATGTATCATGCCCAGTCAGGTTGGCGGGGGCTCTATGTCCAGGCGTCTCTCTAGCAAGCCTAAAAGATGATGGGGTCCTAAACCTTCGGCAATGCCCATATAGGGTAGAGGCTCAGGTTAAGGCACGTTAAGGCCTTAGGTGTGTGTGTGTGTGTGTGTAACTTCGCGATAACCACAACCCGTATCCGACTTGGCAGACGAGACTCTTGATGCACATCTTCATCTGTGTCAGCTCCTGTTCACGGAACTCGGGACGCCAGAGTCAAAGCATTGGACTACTTTCCAACGGAGATCTGGAACGGTTTAAGGTGACTTGCTCTGGGTGCAGAAACCATACTCTGAAGCGGAGCTGGAGCTCTCCGGGTTGTCCTAAGCAGCTGTTCACGTACTCAGAGTGGGTCTTGGTTGCGTCACGACAAGAATTTAAAAAAGGTGCCAATACATGCTCTCTCCGTCTCGAAACTCTGTACATCCGGGCCTTACAGTGCCCTAGTGAAAAATGCCCTTTGAAGCCCTTATGACGTGAAACAACCCTTTAGAAACGCTGAACCCTAAGCCCGAAGTCCTAAACCCCAAACCCTTAACCCTTGGGCGCTAAGCTAAGCCTTCCCGTGGACCCAGAACCCCGAACGATTGCCCTTAAACCCAAAATATCCCAAACCTCCTACACGATCATCTTTAACCCTAAACCCTAAACCCAAAGCTGGGAAAAGGTGATCCAAAGGTTGTTCAAGTCCTGCGCCACCCTCGCATAGCCGACGACCTTGCACTTCCTGGGGGCGTAGCGGCTCTTTGGGTGTAGGGTTTGGGGTTTAGGAGTAAGATGTGATAAAAACTTTGCAGGGACTTTAAGGAGAGACTCTTGCTATTGTTTCTTCAGGGCTTGAGGGTTTGAGGCCTTTAGCAACTGTAGCGTTTAGTAAAGCTTTGGGTTTGTAGGACTTCCTGGGTTCAGGGTTTGGGGCTCGAGGCTTCGCGAAGTGCTGCGTCACTACGCCGAACTTTAGAGTTTAGGGTTTAGGGTTACCTATTCCGAAATCTTGTTTTCAGCATCACCCGTTTGGTCTATATTCTCGGATTGATCCCAAAACTCTACGCCCTAAGTCCCTACGATAACCCCGACATGTACAGCCCGCCTTCCGCATCCCGAATCAAATCCATGGCTGGGGTTTGGGCTTTACAGGGCTCGATTCGAACATGAGGCCTGAACGATTCCAGTGAGGAGGCTGTGGCCTTAAAAGAACGGTATATGGGTAGTTCTCAAAATTAGGGTCCCTTTTTGGGTCCCCAATATAGTACGGCACCCTTATAAACAGGGCCCTAAAAGGGACCCCAATTTGGAGAACTACCCATATGACACTGTAGTCCACACGACAGCCGCAGAAGGATCGTATGGTTCAGGCCTGGGTATACTCTAGCCTAAGCTCGAAGGCAACGCAGGTCTCCCAGAACTCTTAGGCCATGAGTCCCACACCATGCAAGCTTGAACCTCTGGTTTGGAGCTGAAACTTTAAGGGTTTAGTCTTCAGGCTGAGGGCTTTCTAGCTCTAAAGCTAAAAAAACTATAGGGTTTAGGGTTTGGGGGTTTAGGGTTTAGGGTTTGGGGGTTTTGGGTTTAGGGTTTTCTTGGATTCGGTACTTGCAGCATCCAACGGCTTCAGGCTGGCGTAAACGCAAAACCCAATGTCGATTCGACCTCGCTCTCGCAACCCGAGCTCCGACATTTACTGTAGGGGCCTTATTAAAAACTAGAATTTCGGGGCCCGTTATAGTATAATTATACGGAACCCCAACTAAGGACTAATATGGGTTAGTATTTATTTGGCTTCTATATGGGGATTTCCGAGAATAGGGGACCCTAATATAGTACCCCTAAATAATAGGATCCCTATTATAAGGACCCCAAAATAAGGTACCCCTAATTTTCCAACACATCCGTTTAGGGTTTAGGGTTTAGGGTTCCCTGCAACTACCCAACACATCCGTTTATGACCGAAAGCCCCGAAAGAAACCCTGGAAAGTCCCGATAAAGGCACGGGATGTAAGGCTCAGGGTTGAAGAGTATTGCCGCCTTCCCTCACGTTGTTTGATTCTTAAGACGCTCAAACCCCTCAAACGGTAGAGACCTAAAGCCAGCCTAAACCTGCGAAAGGAAGGAACGGTCCTCGTTATCAGGGCGTTCAAACCCTAAACCCGCAAGCCCTTTAGAGACCCAAAACCCTAAACCCCTGCAGCCTAGATCCCTGAACCCTAAAGTTGGGTCTGCGGAAGCCCAACTGGGGGTTTCCGAAAATAGGTACCCAAATAGTAGGATTCTAAGGACTTTAGGAGGGACCCCTAATAGGGACCCTTAATCCCGTCACCTTAAATAACCATTGTATAGTCCTTATATACCCCGTATATAGCCAGGTGGTCTCCATATTAACCCCAATAACCTGCAAAGGTCCCTATTAAGGGTCCCTCCTAAAGGTCTTAGAAGGATCATCCCCCACAATAACCCTAAAGCCTAAACCCCTTGTTGTCGGAAACTCCCAACTGGATGCCGGGATTCTTGGCAAGCTCATAGCAGGTCCAATCTGGCTCCTGTCTCTAGGGCAGAGGCATTCAAGGGTTTTGGGGTTCAAGGGTTTCGGCTTTTGGGTCAAGTCTAGGATTTAGGGGTAGGATAGGGTTTTATTTGGGGTCTAAGGCTTAAGGGGTTCAGGGTTGAAGCGTTTAGGGGCTTGGGGTTTAGGGGCGCCGGGGTTTTGGATTACGTTCAGGTGATGATCAGGCTTACTACAAGGCTTTTATGGCTATAAAGGTTGGTCCATGGGGTGCTAAGTCGGTTCTAGACGGGTTCCACAAGTTGCAGGACCTGCTTTCTCATCTTCTTGCAGGAGGTCAAAAAGGACCTCCGAGATATGGATTAGAGCCTAGGGTTGGGTTTTAGGGACCCTAAACCCCTAAACCCTAAACCCCTAAACCCTAAACCCCTAAACCCTAAACCCCTAAACCCCTAAACCCCTAAACCCTAAAGTTTAGGGTTACTTCCTTGCCGAGCGGAGGATCGAATCTTGGCTTTTTTAGGCAAGCTGGGGATTCCACAGATGTCACGCCCCAAGCCCTAGGCACCACGGTTTAGGGTTTAGGGTTTAGGGACCACCCTAAACTCTGAAACACAGGCTGTACAGGCGGAACCCAACGTTGAAGTCACAACTCCTAAGACATCATGACACCAAGGTTTGGGGCTGGAGGGTTTTATTTGATTCTTGTCAGTGAACCTGTTTAATGCTAGTAACCAGAATAAGGAGAGCATCTTATGTCAAATGTGCTATACTGTGCGTCTTCAGCCAAGCCTCTTACTGTTGAAGCGCTAGGGTTCAGGGTTTAGGTTTCATCGCTCACTGGAGCTCAAAGCTAGGATTCTGTGAGGACAGAGGATCTCTTATGTACGGGATCTCGGAATGTTCCCCCTCCTGCTTGAAGAAGTCGCCTTTGTCGTCGTACCTTTGACATGCTGGGGAGCATCCCATGGCAGACAAGACAGTACTCGAAAACTCAGACACTCTAGACGTGGAAGCAAATGCAAACGGCGCGTTACAAAGTCGCTACTCCACTGCGGCTTGTGCTGCTCCTTCCCGCCCTCCTCCTCCTCCTCCTCCTGCTCCTATTCCTACTCCTACTCACTCCTACTTCTCACTGCACTACTCCTCTATTGCACGACTCCTCTACTCCTCTGCTCCTCTACTCTTCTACTCCTCGGTTCCTCTACTCCTACTCCTCCAACTCCTACTTCTGGTCCTCGTCTCCTCCTCTTCCTACTCCGACTCCTCTACTCCTATTGCAGCTCCTACTCCCGCGTTTACGTAACTGCTACTGATGCTGCTGCTGCTGCTGCTGCTATGGCGACTACTACTACGACGACTACTACCCTTACTGTCAGCACTGCCACCGCAGCCGCTGCCACCTATATCTGCCGATAACTTACAACCCCGAATCAACATGCTTGTGATCCCCCTCCTAATGTTAGTTAGTATTGCAAACCGTCACGTAGGACTATTTTTGGAAGGTCTCTTCGGTGAAAGGTCCGTGGTTTAAGGTTGAGTGTTCAGGGTAATGACCATGCGTGCATTGCGGTGGACGATGCTCATGTCGAAAACAGCCAGAACTAGCTTGCTGCAACCGAGAGTCTTCCAGCTGAGTTCTGGACACACTCCAATCTGTGCCATGGTCTGCGGCAGGGCGGCAGACGGGTTAGGCTAGGCGACGAAACAAAAAGCGACGTATCACATGAGGGCAGTACTGATGTACGACGCCCGATGCCCTCGCCCTAGATTGAGTCGCCTCCCTAGGCATGAGAAGAAACAGCAACAGACCAGAGCATCCACAACTCCTACGACCCGTAAACAGGATCTCCGAAACATGAACCCTAAACCCCTCAAGCTCCAAATTCTAAACCTTACGACCCGAAGGCTCCGCCGCCTGAAATTTTATTCAAGTCCTAATTAGGCTTTGCTTTCAGCCTTGATCCCGTCGCGCAGGCATGCTCCAGCGTCGTGGTCAACAGAGCCCTCTACGAGACGCTCGTTGTAGTAGATGAACCTTAGCGATGTTCTCCAGCCTTCGTTAGCTTTTCAGGTTTCAGAATGCCGACAGTAGTAACAGTGCTGGCATGGGCGGCACATGTGCAGTGAAATGTACGACTGTCATCACTGGCCTCACGGAGGAATAAGGTTGAACCACAGGAAATTGCCATCACAGATATTAACAATTCAGGCCCCTGTATTACTCCGACCGAAAGCTCTGCACCCGAAGAGACACGGGAGCCTGGATTAGAGTTAGTTACTAGTTTTTAGGTTCAGCTTTTTCAGCGAGTCTTAACACCTACAACTGTGCAACACTCCTAGGGGATATTGGAGCCTGGGTTTGGGATTTAGCACGAGTTTATGATCAAGAACAAGCCTTGCGTTGATAGGGTAATCAGCTGCACTCTTTAAGCCCTAACCCCCGAAGCGCAGCATAAGGCTGCACCGCTCTCTAGGCCCAGAAGGCACCTTCACAAGAGCCATAAGGTTGGGATATCCCAGAATCCCCCCTTTGAGTCCCCCAACACCAAAACCCTAAACCCTACAGTTAATGTTTGGTTCTGATCTCTGTCTGGCTGCAGTCGGCTGGGAGTAAAATCCTTGAAGTACGGGTGGTCCTCTCGAGAAGAGTCATGGGTAAACAAGATGCAGGAATAGGGTTTTGGGCTTAGGGTTTCGGGCTTTCGGGTAGGTATCCGTATTCAAGGACGCGTCTAGGTTGAACCGTCTGCTTCATACTAAACCTAAAATACACATCAACATTCATCAACCCTCCCAAACCCTGAACCCTGAACCAAGAACCGTACAACATTACAGCAAATCCCAGAAAGTTGGAACATGGGTTTAGGAGGACTGGTGCTAGAATCCCTTATAATTTGCCTTAAGGGCATGAGGGTAATCACGTTCCAACTTTCTGGCTTCTAGTACAACCCGAATCCCAAAGCCGAAAATCTCCAGGACGGGCGGGTTTGGGGGGTGTCAGAGTTTCTTGGTCTTAGGGGCTTCCGAGGTGCAAGCCCTAAACCCTAAAGCTCTGGATTCGTGTTTAGGTCCCGGTATTTTCCGGGAGTGGGAGCCTGATAAATACCACAACAGAGCTGAAAGGAGTCGAAGACGGCGATGTGGGACGTCACCCCTAAACGCGGAACCCTAAACCCTAAGTGCTCGGGGCTCACCCGTAGCGCAAAGACTCACTGGCCCAAAACCCAAGGAAATAAAAGTTGAAACTTTCAGAACCGACTACCTTATAAGAACCCCAAAAGTTGAAAAGTTGAGTTTACAGCCAATAAGAAGACCTACTTGTTCGGGATTCCTTCTTATGATTTCGTTTTATAGTTCCTGAAACAGCTAGGTCTTTTATGCCACAGGTGGGGTTTTAGGGGTTGGACCGTCAAACCCCCAAGCGCCACACCCTCACCTACGGGAGTCCTCCACGGTCATCTTGTGGAGGGTGAAGTGGAAGGCGGCGGCAAGCGCGTTTGCGGTACAGCTGCCCAGGTGTCCTCTTCGGCTTGAATATGGGTGGTTGTCAAAATTAGTGTCCCTTCTTGGGTCCTTATTAAAATACGGCACCTAGTATTTAGGGTACCCCAAAAGGGACCAAAATTTTGACAACCACCCATATATAATATACGTAGGTTGAAGGTTAGGGGGTTAGGGGAAAGTACAGGATTGCCGGATTTGGGGTTTCGGGTTCAGGATTGAGAGCTTTGTGTAGCTTCCGGAGTCGTTCGGGATACGAGGCAGTAACTCATTCTCACTCCATGGTTCTGCTCCTAGACCCTACTATCCTCTACCCTGCTCTACTCTACTTGACACTCCACGTGCACGACGATATGTCGTGTTCCTTGGGGCCCTCAGGTTTCGATCTCGGCCTCAACAGAGAATCAATGTTTCGTCTAATGTAGAAGAAATAATAATTAGAATGGGGTTTTGGGGTATATTATACTATAACTAGGGTATAACTCGAGCAAGGAACCCTCAAAACTCTTGTCACCAGACTCACCACCAACAGTAGGCAGTTACGAATTGGAGACCCAAGGCTCCACCTCACGTACGCATGTGCCTTTTCGCTAAGATCCTGTGTCTCCAGCGCATTCGATATCCCGGACATGGCTGCGCTCTCAATACCCGGTATGGGATTCAGGTTTGGGCCTGCGTGTCCAGTTTCGACGAAGACACTCCGACTCCATGTTGGCTGAGCGGTGTTGCCCATCAGCACCAATGTCTAGGATCATTCCAGCATTACGGGGAACATGGACAACCCCGATACGGCGGTTCAAGCCGGGAGCTCCCTGGGACTGCCATGGCCGAGACCAGATTCCCGACATGATGGACATGGACGACTGACTTCGGTCCAGTTTGCAAGATCTTGCTCCTTTCAAGGCCTGAATAGAAAGCGTCAGCCCAAGATGCCGCGTCAAGACCTAGCCCCTAAACTTCCAAAGCCCTAATTTTACATTCCCAAAACCAGAAACCACCTAAAACCGAAATTCCCAACAAATAGCCACTCCCGCAACCTAAACTCCACAAACCCTACAAATCCTAATCACTCCAAACCCTAAGTACCTTAAACCCACAGATTGCCTTGGTCGAAGATGGGGAATGCCTCATCGGGTCGGAGGTCAATAATCCTGGGCTCTGAACTAACCCTAAACCCTAAACCCTAAACCCTAAACCCTAAACCCTAAACCCTAAACCCTAAACCCTAAACCCTAAACCCTAAACCCTAACCAGCTTCTGGGTTTCAGGCTTCGGGTTTAGGGGTTTAGGGGGTCTGGGATTTAGGGTGGAGGGGTTTAGGGTCTATAGGGTTTAGGGTCTAGGGCTTAGGGGTGGGTCTAGGGTTTTGGGTCTGGGGTTTGGGGGTTTAGGGTCCAGGGTTTTTTTAGGGGTTTAGGATTTAACTAGGGTTTAGGGTTTAGGGTCTAGGGTGTGTGTGGTTCCAAATGGGAGCGTGTGCGGAACAAGTCCAAAAAAGTAATAAAGTATGGTACTCCAGAGCCCAGAATCTCGTCTCCGTTGCCGTTCATCCGCTTTTGGATCCTCGGCAGGGACCCCAAGCCCTAAACCCTAAACTCTAAACCTAAACCCTAAACCTAAACCCTAAACCTAAACCCTAAACTCTAAACCCTAAACCCTAAACTTATGGACTTTGGCTTTGGCTGTCTTGTTGACTTTAAGGTTTCCGGTTTCGGGGTTTAGAGTTTAGTTTAGGGTTTAGGGTTTCGGGCTTGGGTTTTCCGGTGAGTAAGGGCTTTTAATTTAGGGTGTTAGGGATTTAGGGTTTAGGGTTCAGGGTTCTTAAAGGCATGAAGTCTAGCCTTCATGATTCAATGGCTTTGAGCTTCGGGACATTCGGGTCTTTGGGTACGTCTGGGCGCCGGGTTCCCGGCTTGCGGACCTTGCCTCATGTGGACGAGCTGCACAGAAGCAGTTTAGGGCTTGGGATGTTGTGTGTGTGTGTGTGCGCGTTTTGTGTGTAAGTGTAAGGGGCCAGGGGTCGGGCGGAGTGTTAAGTTAAAGATCCCACATAAACTCGAAGCCCTCTAAGCTTCTCGGCTGAACAGGTTCTTTGCAGAACCTCATGGAGTGTAGTGCCTGAGGCTTTCCCCGAAAGCTCCGAGTATCTATTCATTCGGCATGGTTTTCCTTCAGTGCCGCGAGGCATATTAGTGCGCAGTGTGCCCTTTCGGTAGCCAGGATCCTACACCCCTAAACCCTGCAACCCCTAAACCCTAAAGCCTAAACCCTCAACCCCTAAACCTTAAACCCTAAACCCTAAACCCCTAAACCCTAAACCCTAAACCCTAAACCCTAAACCCCTAAAACCTAAACCCTGCAAACCCAAAGGCTGCCAAGGGGCCCAGGCTTCGGCTCCACGTCCTTGAACTTGACGTGATGATCCCGGTGATCCGGCATGTCCTACGGTTGATTTAGAGTTTAGGGTTTAGGGTTGATGATATGGATCCTGCATTACCTTAAGGACCCTAAACTATGGGAGTTAAGGTATATTCCTCATGAACGGTAAATGCAGGATTTATATCCTCAGCCGTATGTCTGTGCTTCCGAGTTGGGGCCCAGGAGCACTAATCGGCTACAATATAGGGTTCCGTCAAGGGTTCTGTTAGGATTCTATAGCAACGGTGTAGGGTTATTGTACATGGGGGCAATAATTCGAAACGGGTTTGGTGCTAGTTATACAGAGACTATAGCGAAAAAATCATCACCAATTCCTAACCCTAAACCCTAAACCCTAAACCCTCAACCCCACATTGTTCACGCCTCTTCGAAAGGGTTTGGGGTTCAAGATTCACGGCAGAAGCTGCAGCGACAAAGGGCTGAGGACCCCAGGGAGCTTGGGGTCTACTAAGGCTTAGGTTAGTGATTTAGGGGCTTAGGGGTTTAGGGTTTAGGGGTTTAGGGTTTAGGGGTTTAGGGTTTAGGAGTTTAGGATTTAGGGGTGATATAGGTTTAGGGTTTAGGGGTTTAGGATTTAGGGTTTAGGGGTTTAGGGTTTAGGGGCAACTCGAGTTGGGGTTCTCAGTGAATGCTACACCCTAAACCGAGTTCTCAGACACGACCATACTAGAAGATACTTCGAAGCACCCCTCCATACTGAAGCCCTGTGTTCGTCCATCCTGCATTGGAGCCCTAAGCCCCCGAGACCCGAATCCACAGTCCTAAGCCATGGGGCATTTGCGTTCCAGGTTTAGGGTTTAGGGCGGTTTAGGGATTAGAGATTAGGGTAGGTTATAGTGGGTTGCAGGGTTTAGAGGTTTGGCCAACCCCCCACCCAGACCTCATCCTAGATGTTGGATCGTAGCACACTGAAGCTGCAAATCTTGACGTAACGAAGCTTTCAAAACTTTCAATCAAGCCCGAGAGCCTTAGAACATGTCGTAACTCCTACAGCTATAAAGCACCCTCGGGCTCCCCAAAAGGCAATAGAGTTCAGAGTAGGGTTGTGGAGCAAAGGTAGTAGAAGTATGTAGGGCCTATGATGGGATACTCTTGCAAAGTCGAAATCACACCACTACCCCGAACCCAAAAGCCCAAATCCTAAGGGCATTATCGGGTTCAGGGTTCGGGCTTCTGGGTTTAGGGCTAAACCCTAAACCC